ATTAAGCAGTTATGACGTGGACGCGTCCCGTAAATAACAAATTCGAATAATCTGGGTCGGCTCGTAAATTATCTCTCCGCGAGAGACGAAAAATTTTGCGCCACCCTCGCAAGTCAAATCGTAAATTTCCCGTATGTCATCCGCCATGTTTATATCATTCGGTTTCTTTAATTGATTTTTTCGCATGTTTTGTTGTTTACTGTTGAATGTGTTGTGATATTATAAATGTCTCGGCGGTATGGGCGATCAATATGTACACGCGGGTCGCGCACGCATCACACGCGGGGTCGGTTGCGGGCGAGATTAGCGTTCCTGGGGGGCGGCTGGAGCAGAGCCCGCCGTTGCGAAAATGTCAACAAAGCGCGCGCACGCTCTACACTGCCAGCTGCGAAACTCCGCGTTGAGGTTTATGAATTTATCATTCGCATACGGCGCACGTCATGCTGTTCTGTCGAAAAAAGCTCCGGAAAAGTCATCAGGCCTCTCTAACCGCAAATAACAAATATAGTTTTGTTGGCAAAAAACCGCCAACGCTGGCTCCAAAACTACACCAGTGCATAATAAAAAACACACACCGCAAAACAAACAAATAATTAATATTTTAAACGAATCACTGCGTGTTATAACTGGTGTAAAACGCGCGCTGAAAACTGAGATGGATGAAAAAGTTTTGGAAAATGCGCAGCTCAGGTGTTTTCTGTTTGCGAAAGGACCCTGCTTCAGGAATCGCGTGCGCTTTTTGTGGTTTGCTTTAGTTTTGGAACTGGTGAAACCCGAACAAAGCAAATATCGCTAGAAAAAACATTCGGAAAATCATTTTTGGTATTGTTTTCATGAAAATACACAAAAAATACGCATATAGAATTGAAAACGATTTATCACGGATTGTGGTAGATTTGAAAGGTCTCAAAATGAATGGCTTGTTCAACATGGTCATTACAATTAGCGATATCAGTGTACGTGCGTGCCGGGCACGCGATAATTTGTTGCGTCGTGTTCACAACTATCTGAACAAGCATTACTTGTAACCCCCTGGCCACACACACGCTTATTGCGTGCATTTGGATAATTTACTTCCATCGCATTTAAATTTTCTATTAATATATGAGTAGGTAACATACATACGAGTACTGAAAATGTTTTTGTGCAACAGTTACCTATTTATAATCTGATAGGAATAGTTTTGAAACGAAATATTTTTCTGTTTGTAAATAAAATATTATTTTAGTTAGATTTGTTGACGTGAATAAACTAACTTAAATTTAAACCAAGTTAAAATTGAGTTCTGTGCCGAGAGCGCGCGTAAAAGAGGCGAAGGATGAGCAACAGGAAATTTATATCGAGTTTATGTAGTGCAATTTTCTTCTCAATTACGCGCGCGCCCCTTGCCTTGCCGTTTGCATCACAGTCCTTGTGTTCATTTCTGTGCAGAAATAATCCCCCGGAATTATATTAAGTGCTTAAAGTTTCTTTCTTAACTGTGAACTTGGACTTTATCTCAGTTGTCACAAACTCTCCAACCCCTTTTCTTTATAAAAAAGAAAAAATATTCTATATTTTAAAACAAAAATCTGTGCGCTACTGGAAATTCTGTTTCTGTGACACATTGATAAATTCCCTCCGCGTCGCCGGCAAACGTGAAAATATTGAATTCGGGTTTTTGAATTGTAGCTGCGAACTTTTTGACTGTCCGTCATCGAATGCGGAAGGCTGCGACGTTAAAAAATTGCCCTTCGCCGGCAGGCGATCGAACAGGTAGCCGGATTGGGTTCGCACGTATGCGAATAAAAATGAAGAAAATGAAGAAAAATTACACTCGAAGCTTTCTATGTTTTATACATACCTATACCGGCTCGAAAGGGCAGAGTGGGGTGCAATACGAAATCTGTTTTCACTCCATTTCCTATGTGATATATTGTCGTGTATTAATGCGCTTTTTCTAGTAGCGAAAAAGAGTGTTTCTCAGCTTTTATTATCAGTCACTACAACTTGACATTATATATTTTATCAACTTAGAAAAAAGAATTCAATTTTATACTGCTACTTTAATTTAAAAATATCCTAAATGCAAAAATTAAAATTTAAAATTCAATTTGGCAACGCCAAAGGCGCTTTTGAGGTAAAATACAGAAAGACATGTTAAGCTTGTCATAATTGCATTGAATCCATTAAATTTGCATCAATTACGAAGACAAGCGCTCAAATGTCATGTTAATTTCACGTGGAATAATTAAATAATTAATCGCGAAAATTTGCCGAATAATTAATCGGCCGTAGTTTTGCGAAATATTGATCGCGGTGCATCCACGCGAGACACATATGTTCAATTATTAATAAATTGTTAATTTTATGTGCGTTGCGGAAGATATCGTCAGATGTTGAATGTTCGCAGAGCGATTAACGTTTCCGGTGATTAAAATTTTAATCGATTTATACGAGTATACCAAATGTTTGCTGGTCAAACTGATAATAAAATAATCTACTCTTGACGCAGATTGTATTCGGGATTCTTAGAATATCGAAGCCTTGAGATGATTTCCACGAATGCCCAGATTTATTATTTGGGTAATATCCAGTGTTGTTAGCATATTTCAGTTTAAATTTCGGTCAGGCCAGCACATCAGTGTTTGCACTCAAGTTGATTGCATTTCCATTTCGATTTCCATTTCCAATTCATATAAATGCGGAATGCGCACGAAATGCACGAAATGGTGAAATACGCGAAATGGAGTGGTGCGTCAGGGCGGGGAGGGTGGTCATTTCGTTGCATTCCATCGTCGACAAATAATTACTCTCCGGGTGAGCGGGTACTGACCACACATGAACAAAACAACCTCAATAGCACCCAATAAATTACATGAATTACGGAAAATATTTTCGCAAACACAACTAATAAAAAAATTATATTCAAACAAAGCACGAAATATAAAAATAATTAAATTACACGTTCCATGTTGTGCTTTATGCTTATTTGTAAACACGTTGTAGGTTTTGTTGATATTTATTCTGTCGTGTGCAGTTAATTAATAAGACATAAACTTGATTGTAATGCACTGTTTTTAATTAAAGCTTGGTGCGAGCGCCTAAGTTGCAGAATAAATACTCGGCTCGCTTAGACGTGTGCAGGTTGAGCATATTGGGAAATTTATAATCCGCACGGCAGCGCCGGAAAATGCGCAGCGACGAGCCTGCAGCCGACGGTGCTGAAAGCTGCGCCACTATTTTCCGCGCCCAACAAAACGCGCAGCCGCCTTTCTCTTATACTCGCAGATAGCGAAACTGTCATGTCCATTGCCCGACCAATTAAAAACTCATCAAAATCTCGGCCGATGGCGTATCGCAATTAATATCTACGGCTAGATACCTATAGTGTGTGACCTCGATGAACTATTATTATCGAATGGAACTTTGCAAGTTAAATAAACGACTGTCTGACGTTGACACACTAATTTAGGGAGCCGGAGCTCGAATTAATTTGTTTAATGTGTTAATGTGTTTGTTTTTACTTTTAACGAGCGCACGGAAGGCTAATGTGTATTAGGTGCTTATTAGATGATTAGAAAACGGCGGGTGTCTTTAGTGTTATTGTCGAGGTGTGGTCTACCCTTTCACCACCATGCCGCAAATTATGATTGATATGAAAGCAGGAAAAGTGGTCCTACCGTAATTTGTCCTTTCGTGTGTGCTCCACTTACAATTTTCTACTTCCAGGCGGGAAGTCACGTACACCTAGCGTCCTCGCATTCTTTGCAGTTATTATCAAACTGATATAATCATGAAATTTTATCTGCTATTGAAGTGTGCGTCGTTATGTCATAAAATTCTTGATGTAATTAAATTACTCTTGAATAGAAGTTTTATTATTGGGGCGTGAATTATAGTTTCATAAATAGGTATTATTTAATTACTCAAGCACCGAATTTATTTGAATAATTAATTTTTCCGTTAAATTCTATATTGATTTTCATAGAAAAATTTGATTAAAATTTGTGTTCTAAAGGTTTATATTTAAATTTAATAAAAATCAACAAAATTAGCAAAAATATATCATAGAAAAAATTGTGGTGACAAAAATCATTATTAGATCTGGTATTAAATTTATCTTAGAACAAATTTTTTCAACAAAAACTTAGTTTATCGGTTTTTGATTAATTGCTAAATAATGGCAAATATATCTGTTTTTCTATAAATAGTAGTTTTGATGACTTCTGGTGATGGCGATGATGAAATTTTAAGTTCTAATCAATTGTCGCTTATCTCAATGGATTTGGCCGGTTTTGGGTGTGCGCTCCTGATGCATGAAGATGAGATATGTCATTTGTGTCCGTTAATCGAATGGGCATTTAGCTCGACGCGTCCACTGTTCGAGAGAGCCGTGAGTCGGAGAAAGCTCATTAGATCAATCAATGTTCAGTTAACGCGCACAGCGGTTTCCTCACAGGACTGTATCTTTGATTAAATGGAAATTGATTACCTACGGGCGAGACAAAACATAACCAAACAAAACAAATCAAAACAAAAACAAAACATTATCTTGGTTTAGCATAACTTCAAATTTGAAACAAATATGTTGTTTTTGTATTTTCTTGGATATCGTTTTTTTTTATTGGAGGGTGTGAGTAATGGCAATTCAATCAAAGCTCCCTCCATCCCAATGCTGGCCACTCGTTCCCTAGAAATGTAATCGACATTAAATACGTATATACAATCAGCGCCCGTTGGGGTAGGGAGCGTGCGGCTGCAGCAAAGCAATAATAGGTACAATATCGACGCGTTCCGTGTCATTAAGCGACGACTCGCCTCGCTTCTGTGTAATTGTGTCGATGCATCACTCGACAGTCGCACGTCCAATGCGCCAACCACCCACACAGCCACCCAGTCACCCAACCACCCGAAACATCAATTTTATACTTATATATTTACACTTACAGTTCGATAAACACGTTTTAATTTGATACTGATAAAGGATATTATTTCATAGATTGTTTTGTTTGTTACAGGATACGCCAAGAGAAAAATGGCGGTGCCTGGTGTCCAAAAGCACAGATCAGCAGTGAAATACGAGAATATTTAGAAGTGGATCTACAGCGAAATCACCTCGTAACGTGGACTGAAACGCAAGGCCGTTTCGGTAACGGACAGGGACAAGAATACGCCGAAGCTTTCTTGGTCGAATACTGGCGAGCTGTTTTGAACCAATGGGTGGTTTATAAGGACGCTCGAGGCGAGAAGGTAAAATTTTACTATGTATTTTAAAGCTGGTGCTCAACCTAACCTATTCGTGACCAATATGTTTGGTGGATGTATTTCGGCTGATTGAATTTGTTGAATTTGTAAAACTCGACGGGTTTGACCTCGTCCAATGTCCGCGTGCGAGTATTTACAGTCGTGTTTTGTTAATACTGGTATACGAGCGGAAAATCGACCATTTGCTCGGGCGAAACGTACGAAATAAACGAAACACATGCGAGCGAACGGTATTGTGCTGCTGCGCGCGAGAGGTGTATATGGATCGCCATTATCCGCAGTATCAGGCTGCAAATTTCCCTCGGGGAATGCGTGGCGGCCGCCGCCGCTGCTGCCGCCAAAAGGTACGTGGGTATGATGAAAACAGGTATAACCGACGCCAGCAGCCGAAACTACGCAATAACAGTAATAACAAAAGTTCCACGCGCCGAGTCTCGACTCTCGACAAATACAGGTTTATAGTTTTGACTTTGCAGCTTTTACAAAGCCGGGGAAAAAAACCTTCAAACACACCAAAAATCAGATCAATGAATAATAGCCAAGTATTTGTACACATATTAAGAATAATGGTTTAAAAAACATTAAAAACTAGCAAATAGCGTTTAATTATATTAATTAGCAATATGATAAACTTTTTTTTTCATTTAAAACAATAGTTTTTATTACATTATCTAAAAACAAACAAATTGAAAAAAGATTTGAAAAAAATTATTTTATTTGCGCCATAATTATTTATTTGTTAATTTTACAAAGTTAAAAATTGAATGGACAGGTCCAAAATTTAATACCCAATCAAATGGCATCAGAATTTTTGTTCTAACTCAATTTATTTATAACTTTTCCATAAATAACTTAACATACACAATTTTTCAATTTTTAGACCGTTATTCTTAACTATTACATAAATTCTAAAACTTGGCACAATTCTACTTTATTCTAAGAATTGAATTTAGACGCTGCTGCAAAATATGTGTGTTGGTATTTGTGTTTGGATGGAAGAGACATCTCGTTACCTAGTTAATCCTGTCGTCCTCGCTGTCATGCCTCGTACTTGTAGAATGCGCAAGGTTCTGGTTGTGATGTTGGTCCTGAAAATATGTGCTCCGGTGACAAGACGTAGGCGTAGGCGTCGCGAAGAAAATATGACGATTCATCAAAGGCGGTGTTCGTTGTTTAAGCAAGGCGAGCGCGCCTCGTACACAACGCGCTGAAAACATTTTGTTCGCCCGACGCCTCCCATATCTACACACTTCCCAACTACATATCTCTACGCCTAGACTATATCTACAAAATGTAGGACTAAGACTGACAAATACATCCTTTATGATTAATGTGCGACCACGTGTCGCTGTAGTTTTCTACGATGTTCTACTTCAAATAAATTCATACAGAGTGTTGCTAAATTTAGTTTAACTGGAAATAATAGATAGTTAAGGTTTCTGTAGCACTCTGTATAAATGTAAAAGGGTTCCTTTGCGGCATGGTTTATTGTTGTCCCTTGCTGTGGAGCGGAACACACCCGTATAAGTTGTGTGCTGCGCTACAGATGTTTGTTTGCCGCGCCCCCTTGGCGCCCCGCATGTGTGGATTTGCTGCAGGATAACACATTAATCACTGCATTTTTCCGCCCCCGCGAGCGCTTTACATTAATTGCCATCGCTCTGCGTGGTGCGCTAATGATGATGGCGACGCGCGAAGACGTTCGATTCGTAAACCCGACCGCCCCCTTACAACTAGCACAGCCTCTGCAGCGACAACGACAGCATTACTGTACACGTACATCTCTAACTTGCTACCAGCATGGACCTTCTCAATTTTAATAATCTAAACAATGGGGGTAATAAAGCAAGATCCTAATTGTTCCTTGCGAACGCAAAGGACCCAGCCGGCCGGAATGGAAGTTAGTCTATTATAACCGCGCGGGCGGTCCCCCCTGAGACTGCTCCTTTGCGCTAGTTTCGGCCTCTTGGAGTCGCGGGCGTCTATTATTTGTAGCCGCGCCGCGTTCTCGAGGATTCAAGGACTCAAGGACGATAATTGTCTCACGCCAGGACTGGCTTTCGGAGTGAAGAGTCGTAATTTTATTAAAACAGGTTGCGGGTTTTTCATCCAGCCCTGGATTTCATTGCTTTAGACGAACGGTGTGTACCCGAATTATTAAATTACCGCCTCCCGCAAACGCGTTCACGCGTTAACGATCTGGGATCTTAACAACCCATTAGTATTATCCCGAAAGGATAATCTTATTAATATATTGCGAAATGGATTGCGAATTTTTTCGTTGTTAATTGCATTTTTATATTTTTCGTTGCAGGTTTTAACCGGGAATAGCAACACGTATCTGGTGGTCAAGCAACGTTTGGAGTTGCCATTCATCGCTAGTAAAGTGCGTTTCATTCCGTATAGTGAACATCCGAGGACCGTCTGCATGCGGGTTGAACTTTATGGATGTTCATGGGAACGTAAGTTATTTTTATTCGATTTTAATATAATTTTACTATTTTTATGGTGCGTATCAAAGCGCTGTGCATTCAACATAGTAAAACTACTGCTGTTTTGAATTTTTGTTGATAAATCGTCATTAAAATGCATATTTGTGGGATGAAAACATGATAGCTTGATTCTTCGAACTGGTTCGTTTTGCTGCGTATCGCGTGGCGGGCAGAAATTGATGCATACTCATGACAAAAGCCGCGTGCACGCAAAACTCAATCCAGCCAATATTCGGATCGTAATCCCAAATAAACAAACCAGAAATGTGCACAGCCCAGCAAAAAGGTGTCGGCATCGAAGAAAAAGCGCAGCAAAAACGCCACAAACAAATGATGTGATATGCTCATGTTTGAACATGAAACAAAAAAAAATTGAAACAAAAGCGGTGTGTAGAAATTGAAAATACCAATCAAAACTACAAACAGAATGGTAGTAATCCTTTTTAATATTACTCGATTCAATTTCAAATATCTAATAATATATATATTACAATTGTTACAATTGACACATCATACGAATTGCCCTTGCCGCGTTATTAATCGGCGCAAATTTATTGGCTCAAAAATGAAAATCAAAGCAATTCATTATCGCTACTGTACACCCACACACATCGACATCACCCCTATGTCCGTCACTCGACGATATGAATATTGAAGAAATCAATAATCCACTTTGCACTCTGTGGACTGCAGCAAGCGACGCAATAAATTCGTAATAAAATCACGATTAGCGCGGTTTGATTGCCTCCGAAATGGTCGCGTCGTCGGGATGGAATGATGCCATGTTAGTTTTGACAAGTGATATTTTCGATTCAACTATTGTGCAAATATGTGCACACGGGCCGCGGTATAAATAAATAATGCGACGGGCGAAATAATGGCGACCCTTAAATGACATCCTGTCGCGTCAGCCATCGGCCCTATGCGCATAAATATTTCACCGCATGTGCTTGTATGTATTCGTAATTAAACGCATTAAACGATTGGCTACACGCCGATTTGTCGCATTTGTCGCATTGCTACATTTTCAATTTTCATTTGAATAAAAATTAAAACATTAAATTTAAAGCAAATTGATTTCGGGTTTTAATAGTTTTGTAATTTGGGTTATGTTGAATAACCATAAGCGCTGTGTGAAGGTTGGCGTTTTGATTTTGGATTTCGAGATTTTGAATTTGCGTATGCTAATTAACAGTAGTGCGGTGAATGCGGCGGTTGCGCGCCTCCCTCGGTTCGACGATTTGATTGAAAGATTAACGGACGCGCACGTTGAGCCGAATAGTTGGCTGCTCTGCTGCTGGGGTACTGCCCAATCGACGATTTTATAATTACCGCGCGTTGGCGAGCTCTCAATTTACGCAATTCTCGCGCATTGTGCGCAAACTTATTAACCTTTCATCTCGTAACGACTCCTAACAACTCTCTTTCACGTCGAACTTTTGGTGGGCTTTTTGAAGCGCACGATAGAATCACACTACACCACCCCTTGCGGGTTGTGTTGCTCTCTATGTATACAGCAGTTAATCAACATTCACATGTTTAGAATTTGACGTTTATATTCATTCGGGGCTTATCACTAAACTGGACGTCATTAGCAGTTAAACGTCGGGTTGGCTTTGTCGCAGCAAATGAGATGTATCTCAGTTTTGTAATGGCCCGCTTCTTTAACATATGCATCTTGATAAAAGCGTTTCAGGGTCGTTGGACCGGCCACGTGCCCATCGCCCACCACCCACTACCCTTAAAAGCCGGTACTAATTACTCTAAAGACGCTTAAATTCCGAGAACAAAGCGCGGTACCTTTTACTATATACATGGATAGATCTAACCTTTTTGGTTCCGCAATTCGAACGCTTTTTTTAGATCTTCCGGTCATGTGAATGTGAGTTGTAGAGGGAAGTGAAGCAAATGCAGAGCAAATGATATTGCAATTTCCCAATTTCGCAATTGCCAACGAAAGCTGAAAGCTGAACGTCTAGTTAGGTTCGCAGCGACGGGCACGGCACGGCACGGCCCACGGCCCAATTAGTTAAATGCATGGCCCTTTCTTACAGCCGAGCGAAGCTGTTTACCGTCGAGATATTGCCGGGACTTTCGACTTCCAGACGAGCGGGCCTGACTCGCCCGACAACGCCAACGAGCCGGAGATAGTTAGTCAAATAGTCGAATCTAGACGGTCTTTAATCAAACAAGATTTAATCACCACCCATGGTTTCCTCCGCATACTGTTGGTCGTCATGGTGATTGTAGACATTAGCATCCATCACACAACGTTGGTATGTTGTAAGCACTAATGTGCGAACATAAATTTTCGAATTTACGAAAATTTTGCTTTAATTCAAACAATCTGTATGTTTGTGTGTTATATAAATGCAAGCAGTTGTAACGAGGAAATTCTGGGCGGCACCAAAGCGCGATTTCTGTTTGCTGAATCTCGATGCATTTCATTACGTATCGCTTCTGCTTCCTGCTCTTTCTCCTGCGAGAGAGGAAACTTTGCAACTTGCACAACTTTTCGTTCCCTTTCTGGCTGCAACTTCCAACACGCATTCTCCCACACACACACACATAGCAATCGGGTATCGGTTGGTAGGGTTGTTGGAACGTATGTAGAATTCCACATCTGGATACGAAGCCTGTGCCGCCTTGGGCGCGGCGCGCTTAATTAAATTAAGCAACAATACGCTTGTTAAACTATAAGATTATTTAGTGGCGGTTTTGCGCGCGCGAGTCGAAAGTACGGAAACATGCAGTGTTTCAAGCGCGAGCCGCATGTATAGAGAACTTGCACAATGGCCATTGAGTGCCCCTCCGGGCATCTCAACTCCCGGGTTGTGTATGTGGAAAGCTGGGGTATGCTTGGCGCAGAGAACTAGAGGCCCGCGGCGAGGTCCGCGTGACCGCGCGTGGCTAGCGATCCCTTCGAGAGTGGGTTTTGACTTTGGCTGACCCGCATCAGTTATCCCACCACCACTACTATGATATTCGTCATATGTCGCGACGCGGGTCAATTCTGAATATTCATTCGTTCGGATAATACCTACGTAGGTATCTCTATAACGTTTTTGGTGTTTGGTTTTACAGAGAATCTGGTCAAGTACGAAGCGCCGCGCGGCGAAATCCGCGAACCGGATGTGGATCTCGAGGACGTGAGCTACGACGGCGTGCTGGACGGCACGTACATGAAATCCGGGCTGGGTCAGCTCGTCGACGGGCTCTACGGCGACGATGATTATCACAAACAGCTACAGGGCGAAAATTCAGGTAATATAACTCTTTTTGCTTAAACTTTACAACCGCTTACAAATTTGTTAGCTTCCGGAGCACTATAAAATCGGGCGACTGCGCACACAATTGAATATTCTGGGGGGACGGAGCATTAAATGTGTGCAAATCGTAAAAAGTTATAACTACGTAATATTTTTTTTTATTTTTTACTTTTTTACTCGTCAAGTTTATTACATACGTACAGGTTAAATCCAAGTTAATGCTTGTTAATGTTGGCTGTTTTTTTTGTGTGGAGTTTTTGTCAAACACTCGGTGTAAAAAAGGTTTGAGATAAAAACGTGAAGCGTCTTTTGCTTTGAGTTTGGCTTTGGTGGTGCGCTGCACAAAAACACATACGTTTAACTCCTCTGCTCCAGGTCGTCGAGGGTGCGCGACTCTCAATGCTCAAAGCTGGGAAGCTTTCGCTGCGGCGATAGATAAGCTCGCGCTTTTCGCGTACGCGCTTTATCTTCTAATCGCAAAACGTCGCTCGTGAAAGAAAACGCGCCGAATCACACACGTCTGCCGCTGACTTCTTCTCTAACCGAACGCAAATAAAAATTTAATTTACTGCTGATAACCGCTTGGAATTTTCAATCCGCAGAACGAAATATTCTTTTCGTTTACGATTCGTGATTTTATCATCATATCCTATCATAATATTTATTTTAGGCGCGTTTATGCGTGCGTATTTGTCGATGATGACCGCCGCCTCAAAATTCGTTTTTATGATGTATGAAGATAAAATTCCGAAATCAATAAGTCGTGGCAGGACAGCGTGCTTGTCCTTCGGGGCGATGAAATCTCGGATGAAAAATGACGTGTCGTTTCATCGCATTGTATCTTTATCGTCATCATTTTGTATTTTATTTGTATTTTTGTATCTTTTTGAAACGGCGAGACGGACTGCGTTGAAAAAATTGACGGAGCGGTCACGCACTTTCATCCCTTTATGCACGCGCTGAGCGTGCGAGGGGCAGTGAAAAGCCGCGAAATAAATGTGCACGCATTATCTAAATGGAATGACCGAGGGCGCTGAGTGCACCAGCGAAGCGCTCAAATTAGGGTGCACGAAAAACCTCATCCTTTTTATATTTTACTGTCACCGACATGCAAAAATTCCAGGAGATGTTTTAACATGAAACCTTTGGAAGAAAAAAATTTAATACTATAATATTTCATTGATTTATACAGGTTTTAAGTAATTTATGCTCCGCCCCCGGTCACACTTACCGTTTGCGCAAGCGCAACAAACAATAAATACAAAAAACTATTGTTTTGTAGGTTTTAAATTCTGTAATTAACTATGTTTGTAAATGTTGCAAGGCATGCAATTAATTTGAAGCGTTGAGTGGTGTTAATTAATATAAATAAACGAATTTCGTTGTTGCGCCCGTGCTGGCGCTGTGCGTCCGCCATCGGCCGTGGGCGCTTTCATTCCATCAAATTTAATTGCGAATTTGTTTGCTTACGAAACTAACCGTCGGCCGTTCTCTGTGCAATCTGCAGGTAGCAGATGGGTCGGCTGGAGGAACACCACGCTCGCGGGCGCTCCGCTGGAGATCGTGTTCGAGTTCGACAATGTGCGAGACTTCAGCGCCATTCATCTGCACGCCAACAACATGTTCACCAGGAACGTACAGGTAAGAACAATATTTATTATTTCTGCATAATTAAACCAAATTTTCAATCAAAAGAAGGTATTATTATGTGTGAAGAACAAAAGTTTGGTTTTTCATTAAGAAACTGATTTCAGCAACTTTTTATATTTGAATAATTAATAATTGCATTACGTCGTAAAACATAACGAGCGCAATTTTTAAAAAATACATTTTCTTGTCAGTTTTTAATTAATTACTTGCGAACGGTATGAGTTACAATCATTATTCTTACTGGAATAGGTTCTGTAATTAATTTTGCTTAATTATACCAAGTGTTGCAATATTTTAGATTTAATTTCATAAATAACAGAGAAATAAGTAACATATAAGATATTTGCTTGTTTGAGGTGGTAGTACATCGAGTTGCGTTCTGTAGGTGAATTAAATTTGTGGTAACATTAAATTTTAAACCCGGAATGTAAGTTTGAAGTTTTCAATCTCGAGTGGAATTGTTTTCCATGTTGAAATACGACAGGTGATTCAAGGAAATTGCGTCCGAAGACAAACATAGATGGAACGTTTGCATCGGCTTATGTGCGGTGGCGGCGCACCGGAGATGCGGAGATGTTCGGCACGGCAGTGCATTGCCAGTTATTGATATTTTATGCGGAATTGCGGAATGATAATTTATACAAATGCACGCTTCCTGGCAGTTTCCGGCGCTGCAGCGCTTACGCGCTCAAAAGCATTGTTTATGTAGCACATCGAAGACCACCCGGAGAAAACGCATATTGCACGTAGGCTCATCCACGAATCGAAATATGAATAATTCAATAATTCACTCCGGACGTGAAAACATAATCCCCCTTCAATAAATCCAGGCTCGTCCCGGTGTGGGCGCGCGCGAGCGGCGCTTCTTACTGTTTTTCTCGTTTTATGCGCCGGCGAACTCTCAACCTCAACCTCTAAAATGCGTCCGCCGGAGCAGCAAAGAAAAAAATAGAATAGAAAGGAATAAAACCGGGCGCAATGCGGATACATTATGTATATAATGTGATGCGGGGAAGATGTGCGCGCACAGGTAAAAAATTATTCGAGTTTTACACCCCGAGTTACGTCCGTACGTGTGTTAATTTATAAATTCGGGGCGCCTCCGACGTTGCGGTCTTATTTTTCACCAGTGCCGGAGGCGGCGGCATCCACGTGTGCGGCGCGCGGTGCTCTCGTAGTTATTTCCCGTTGATTTATTATTGAAACGAAGAGCGCACCAGAGGAGCAGCACACCGAGCGCATTTTCCATTTCGTCCCGGCTGCCGCCACCGCGCATGGGTTTCCGGCATTCCACCCTTGATGCTGCGCCGTCAACGGCGAACGTGCACACATGGATGCGCGCCCACCGCCGCTGCCGCCCCTGCGGTCTGTTACATGCGCTATTATTATGTTCACAACAATGCTTCATTTGGTTCGGGGTATCAGAGATTCCTTCCTTTATTGCATTGCGGTAGAAAAAAAACACAAGCGCTGAAGAACAAAAAAAAAACAAGTAAACGATACGCTCGAACAAAAAGAAACAATTTCATGATGCAAGCAAAAAGTAAACACAGGAAACGCACCGAGTGCAGTTTCTGTTTCAATGAGTTCTAATCACGGCGATGAATACCTAGAATTCATGATTTTAATGTACATTGCATTGTTGTGTTTTTTTTGCAGGTGTTTGCTATGTGCGAGGTGCAGTTTGGGTTGGACGACGACAGCTATCAGGACTCGATTGCCGTCCGCCATGTTGTTCCGGTCGACCGTTCGCGGGAATCCGCTCGGAATGTGAGCATCTCGCTCAAGAACCGTGCGGCCAAATTCCTCAAAGTCCGCTTGTACTTTGCATCCGAGTGGATTTTGCTCAGCGAAGTTGCTTTTGAATCTGGTGAGTCCTTTCAACTTATATTTTACTTATTAGTCTCAAAATATTCTTACAAACTAAATTTGCAATTTAATTCAATTGCGTGGCGTGATTTTTTTAGACTTTTCTGATTACCTCCGTTTTTCTATATCAGATAATAATTAAATTTTTACATTTAAAATTTATATAGATCACAAATATAATTTTAAAGTATTTACTTTAAAATATTGAGAATTTCCGGGTGTTAATAAGGATCAAAGTTAATTATAGTTGATTCTAGAGTACAGTTTGCATTATTTATATTTCGCATGCACTGCACAATAAATACAAACGAATACAGAAAAGTCTGAGAACAAAAGCAGTTTAACTTTGACTAGAAATTTGCTCAGTGCACAGTTACATCCACTTCTCTCCGGTTACGAATGCATCATGTAGTTGCGTGCCAGACAGCCGCGCATAAAGTCTGGAGAACTCAAAGACTAATCCGCTTTGCGCTCCCATCGCTCCCCATCAATTTATAAATCCATTAGGAGACGGTATCCTGTCCGCGCGGCTTCACCACCTCCCTCCTCCGCCTCCTGCGCCTGGACATCACCGGTGTTTTTTCAACAAAGTACCGCTGGCGTCCTGATGGCAATTTGCTAAAATAACACGTGTGCACGTGGCTATTTAACGCGCGCGCCTGTAAAAACATGTCCGCAAATTTGATCACACTCAAAGTGGTCAAAAATATCCACACCATTGCTAACAAGATTACGTTGTGTTCTCCTGGCGGTAGTGGTGGTTCTGTTGGTTATGACGGCAGCGCAGCTGGAAAAGGTGTTTGCGTGCTCAATAGTTGTCGAAGAAAGGACGCGGCGGGCGGCGCGTTTCTGATAATAATAGCGCGCGGCGGGGCGGCTTCAGTCATGATCCCGAATATTGCGCGCCGTTGTGAATAATTCAATTTTCTCGCTGTGAATGGCGGAGGCGCCGGGCACGCTGAGAAAAGAATCACCTGTTCGCCGCGGGCGGTTTATTGCCGCCAGCCAGCACACTGCCATTAGTCTGCACGCATTCTCTCGTGACAATGATCGAGATTATTACATTGCGTACACACTCGTACATACATAAACTTTAATTCGTATTTCCTGCTGCGGATACATCTATATAGGTATTATATATTTTTTATGTTCCGAGAGCTGTTCTGGTTGAATTTGTGCTATAGCTTGATAAATCGTCCGTACACGCGCACGATAAAACAAGCCACTTTAAACTGATAAGGCGTCACGCCGTCTCAACCGCAGCTACAAACTGTGTGAAGTCGAACGTATCGAAAAGTTTACTGTTACTTGCGTCTTCTTCGTTTTTTTTTTTATCGCGTCGGTTGGCTGATACGTGTGTTGCAAATATGCGAAAGTTGGTATCTGTCGAAGTTTTGTTTGAGGAACCTTACACGGATAATTTCGCATGCCGCGCGATCGATGTGGAAGTGCAGACGACCATTTTGGGCGGCATCCAGACGCGTCATTCCGTTATTTATTCATAAATGTGTGCCGCCGCACACGAGTTTTTCCGGCCCGGCTGTGGAATGTAATAATTTTCGCGTTTGTCGCAATGCATCACTAGTGGCTTGCTGACATCCTTAGGAAACTCACCTAGTTGTGGGGGTGATGGATAGATCCGCATGGTTGAGTGGAACAACATCTGTTCGTGATTATATCCTCGAGAATGTATGTCGCGCGCGTTCTATGACGTGGATGACTTTGCTCGCCGCCGCCTCCGCCGGTCCGGGGGATAAATTAGTCGCCGAGCGCATAAAGAGACGGCGCGAGTGCCTCATTAGCACAGTGGAGCAAAGAACGTCGAGCCACATCAAGGTGGATTTTCCACTCGGTCACATCCCACGAGTAATTCTTTACCACTTTTTATTCTGTTTTACTACTTGTCATCACCAATTGTCATAATTATTCACTAAAATTTTTAAACTTTAAATTTATTTGTGCTGTAATTTTTATGATTTGGATTAGAAATATTTAATTTTAAGTTTTATTTGGACATACTGTATGTTACAATTAGTAGAATTCATGATTTGGATGATTCCGACAAAAGCCACGCCATCAAAAGCGCTAAAAGCTCGGATGAAAGCTCGGTAGTTGCTAACTATGTCAAACAACTGTTCGGCAGATCCTCACAGGATTTCCAGTCATTTTTCGTGACTCTCAACAGTTTGCGTATCTCACTAATCAGATGCTCGGCGACGCCGCACGTAACCATCATCATTAAGTTTTAAAAACTGTTTGCCACGTCGTCGGCCGGAAATCGTAACGTGCCGCCGCCGGTCGTATCATTTGCATACGCGCCTGTTTGCAAATGTGTGTTTGGCTGCAAACATGTTTGCGCCCGAAAACCTCAACCGCGGCAGCGGCGGCGGCGTGTTGTTTAGCTCGCGGGAGCGGCACGTACGCAACGTGTGCGCGCACATATTATGCGCGTCATATTATACGCCAAGGAAAACACAATTACGACTAACAAATTGCATTTTTTTTATGTTGCACGGAAATTTTTCGAGAATCAACGCCGTCAGAAAGCAAAGTTAATTCTATTTTTGTTATTATTGCATAAATTATAAATTAATTAGTAGCCGGTCGGCGGAATTAAATAAAATTAACACACCGAGAGTTTTCCGCAGGATGCGACGTGTGCGTTGCAGCAAAGTTTCAATTCGATTGAGGCTCTGGAAAACGTTAATGGAAAAGTTAAATTACACGGAAATAAATGCAACAAACGATGAAATCCACTCTGGAAATGCACGATCGAACGCAACGCATTTCGCAGTTAATTTCAATGCGCCGGTGGTGCATTTTTGCGCACAGCGTACTTTTTCCTCTGCGAGGACGTGATTACACGCTTTTACATCCACGGATGATTTAATCCCGAATAAAACTATTCGTTGATTCTATTTCGGCACATTTATCACGCAACAATTTTATCAGTGCGCAAATAATTACAATATTTGCAGATTTATGAGAGTAAAATAACAAAATTAGTATTTTCGCTTGGGCTTATTGTATGGTTTGGATGTGATTGTTAGGGATTGATTGTGATTGCGTTAGATAACGTTTCGTAATGTTTGAGAAGCGTTTCGGGGACGAGAAGAAAGGTGAGCACTTTTTCGTTTTCCCCTCGTCATCGACGCGTCACGCCTACGTGCGCCGATTACTGAAGAGCCGCTTTCTGCCTCGCAGGAATCTCGACGCGATCGGTCGTAATTCAATGAGACAACATTGCCTTGCGAAAACGAAACGGAAATGCAACGCAAGAGAATAATGTTTGATTTTTAACTCTTATTTTTTTTCTCTCTGCAAGTACAAAAGAAATTATTGTTATTTTTGCTAATCTTAAACTTCTACTTCTGTTTAACTAATTCACACCCAGTTGTAGTTGAGCTCATATCTCTACCTCTTCATGTACGCGCAATAGTTAACTTTGAAAAACATGAAAAGTTACAACTAGAAGTATTAATAATAAAATCCATAAACTGTTGAGTTTCCTCGGCTGCAGTTCATACATACGCAGTTTTGTGAAGTAACATTTCTCGTATGGAGGACACGCTGGTCTCTACACTATCATCGTAAAGCAAACTTTTCAAATAACTATAACTTTTGCGTTCGCGCGTTCGCGTGCTGCGCCAAGCGGGCGAACGTTAACGTTAAAGTTAAACTTAAACCGCACCTAATGGTTTTATTTACACTCCTGTTCCATTTCGTTTGTCCACATTACCTCACCGCCGTTGTCGTTGTCGTAAACTAAACGCAAACAACAACGCACAAATATTTCTCTTATCTTCAATTTCAATTCCAATTTCGATTGCGAATTGAATTTGTGCCATACACACACACAGCGCAATTGCGATAGAGAAAATAGCAACTTTTCCGGGGCGGGCGTTGTGCAAGCTCTCGGGCTGCTCTGAGATAACAAACAATTCGCGAGCCATCCAGGTGCGAAACAAAATAGCGCGCCGCGAGCGCGAGCGGAACAACAATTCGACAAGTTTTAATTAAAACCGGATGTTTTAATGAAATTCTAATGAGCGTCAACGTCACCGCCCGACACGTATGTGTCTGTCGCGCGCGCGAGTCGGATTGTTTAAAAGTACGAAACACAAGTCGGAATCGATGCTCGACGCCTGGGAATTTAACTTTTCCGGTGAACCGGTTCGCGGTAACTTTTCGATTTGATACTCTGTCGGCAAACTTATCAACAAATTTAATTCTATGATATGTACACTAAATAAAATCGTAATTTTTCTTTTCCTTTCAGTTTTAACAACAAATAACTTGACTGAAGACGTCGTTGAAAAATACATTGTTCAATCAGATGTGACCTCAACCGCCACAACTCCTAACCCGAATAAAAAGTTGAAAAAAATTGAAAGTACACACGCACGTAAAGAAGTCACCCCTGCAACATCACCCACTTCCACTGCACAAGCTTATATTGGGTTGATAACCGGAGCGTTAGCCATGGTTGTCTTGTTACTGGCCTGCGTTGTGTTTCTCATGATTCGTAGAGGACGAAAAAAAGTAGCGCTGCTACACAAACACACTGCTCTGGTGTCGAGTAGCACTAAACCAGGGGTGACTATCAACATGAAAGACCTACAGATGCACATGTCTACACCCATCATAAACAACGGGTTGTCCAGGTCAAGATTGTCGGTGAAAAGCAAGGTGAATACTTTAAATGTCCTGGACGTGAACGGCGCTGGTGGTGGCAAGAATGGCAAGAAGAATAAAAAGTGTAATCTGTATGGGCACGTCAACGGTGAAGAATCGGATAGTGAGAATTCTTCGGTCTACCATGAGCCGTACAAGCTACTCCCGAATGCGAAAACTGAATATGGTTGTCTGCTGAAAAAGGATGCGATTTGCAATGGGACAAAGACGGAATACAGTGGTGAGTACACTTTTTGGTGTGCGTGAATAAAGGTAGTTTTTCGTTCGCGAAAATTTGATGATGGACAGTTGCATGAAGAAAAAATGGATTGCGTGTAAAACGGCAATAAAACCTTTACGCTTTTCGCGAAATTCTTTTTCGAGGGGATGATCTAAGAATACGCAAGGCGTATATTTTTCTACTGAATTCTTTAGACTACATTTCTTAGCGTTTTCCTGCCTTTTATTGCAAAATACTAAACGTTAATTTTCATAGAATAATAAACATCTTCTCCAACACGAGTTAAATGTTAAATATTTCTACTGTTTTGGTTGTTAATTGAATTTCCAGCTCGTTTTGCGCATTTCGCACATTCCGCGCCTTTTAACTCACAGCTTCGGCAAATTTTACTTTAAGTTTTAACGCTTTTAATCTCCATAAAAATGTTTACGCCGTCTTGTAGACGCTCGTGGCGTGCAACATTGATGGTTTTACGGCCGTTGTGCAAGTTTACAAAAAGAAAACAAAGAAAGGGTTCTTTGTAGCATTCTTCTTTTGTTTATGTGTTGTAAGTTAGTGGTGTGTGATGTCTGGTGTTTTGTTTCTGGTCGCGGAATTGGATGTGCCGCTAAGGTGGGTTTTAAATTGTTGCAGACTTTGGCGGCGCAAACGGCTGCTTCCCGGAAGAGTTGAAGACATCGTTCTACAACACTCTTACGCCGCCACCCCCACCGGCGTCGCGACCACCCACGTCGGCGAATACAACCTACGATGCTAATGGTGGTGTTGTAGGGGCTGAAAACTACTACGCAGCTACTGATATCATTAAGGTAAGTTATAAAACTTTCTTGTCATTCTAAAAGTGGATTTATTTTATAAAAATTCCGGAATTTTCATAAATAGGCATAAATTTTAATTTAAGCAATAAATTTATATCGATTTTTTGCTGTTATATGCAAAGTTTAATTAGGGCTATTTAATAATGTAATAAATATTACATAATATTATTACACATAGCTAATTTAAAGAAAACCATGAAAATTTAATTTTATACTTTGAATCAACAAGTTTTATTGCTTGTTTTCCATGCAGTTGACCACAGATAAATGTTCAAACGTATAATTACCCGCTGGCATTCTCGCGGGTGGCATTAAACCTTTTCACTGGACAAAATTAAATTCTAAATCACTATTCTCACAATATTTCATAGCTCCGCCATCGTTTATATCAACCAAAGGCCGCAATAATGAAATATTCATAAACCGTTTTGCGTTTCCTCGCGCTTAATGCGTAATGCGTTTAATGTACAATTAGACTTTTTTGCTACGTTTATACAAATGGCCCGCCCCGGCCCGAAGCTATGCACAGGTCAAAGGTAAAATATGCGCGCAACATGAAAAATACTATATATGAGAACATCAGCAGCAACAGCAACGAAAAAAAGCAACGAGACAAAGTTTATTTTCATTTCGTGGCGAATTTTGCCTGCGAGATGAAAAAGAAAAATGAACGGCGTAGAGAGCGTATTTCATTCGACGAAATGCCCGCCGGGCGAAACACGGCCGAACACACAGTCAGGAACATCCTCCTTATGTTACACGCATATGTTCATATGTTACGTGTAATATACAGTGTGTTCTTGGGTTGAAGGGTTGTGTTGTGTATTTTTTACGCCGGTACAATTCGATTTTTTCAGTTTTGCGCTGGCGGGCAGGCTACCTACCTTTTGCTTTTGAATTCGCTTGTGTTTTTTTTTCTATCCGCCGCCTTTCTTCGCACATACACATAGCAACACACAACACGCGCAGACAGACTTGGCTGGTCTGTAACTCGGGGGCCTCAGGTGGTTTTCCGTCGACTTGGATGTCGACCTGCCCGGGAAATTTACTCTCGAGTTTTCGCCCGACCGCAGACTCGCGCAAACCTCGACAACGGCAACATCGCCGAAACAAATAAAGTCGTCTTTTATTATTAAAGTCTTATATACTTAGATCGCAAAAAATAAATGGACTTTTTCCCTGCGTACAGCAACAATTTATTTTACGCACGAATTAAATTGGGAAATATGAAATGCGAGACGCACAATGATGTGAATCTCGATTCTATTGATAAACTTAAAGTTCCACCTTTTAAGGTGCTCAGACATTCATCAAGTTTCAAGACGAGTTTTTACGTGAATTTCACTTTGAATTATCGTCGGCGGCGCAAATATTAAATAATTGACATTACCAGTAATACGCAGCGAACGTACGGCGCATCCACCATTGCGATTAAATCATTTTTTGTTGGAGAATTTTGCACGCCTGACACATGAGCGATAATCCTCTTAAAATGTTGTATATATTTTTTGTTGTAGTCTGAGTGATACAATATATAACGAAGACACGCATTGTGCGCACGTCCCAAATACCTATATATATTTTTTCATATACTCGCTTTTTCTTTTACGCCTCCATTCCGCGTTTCTACATTTGCCGCATTTCCATTTACGACGTATTCTGGGGGCAACAGGTACACGCATTTTTTCTTCGTGCTTCTTTCGCTCCAAAAAAGCTTTTGTGGCAAGGCGTGCGCGTGCGAATGAACGAGTGGGTTCATTCATATGATAAAGACCCCGCTTCACATTGCCGCGGCCGGCTATATCGAACGAATGAATATTTTATTAAAGTGCGTATTATATGATTACGTGACGCCCTCGCGACGATATCGAATCGTTTTGGAGACATAAACAACTGTTACCTACACGCGGGTGCAAGTTTTAGCTTGGGGAACACTTTGAGTTATTAAATTCCCCGTCTCGAGGAACAAAAGAATAGAAGAAGCGCGTCTCATTAAAATCTTTCGCCGATGTGATATAAAATCTCCTTTTCGGTATGGGTGCGCGCATTCAAAGTGGCCATTAAATATTCCCTTATTGTTTCCTTACCTACGCCTGCTATATAGTTGGGGGGCCTTTGAAACGGGTTGTAATGCGAATGGACCAAGTTTGGTGGAGGCGCCGCGCTGTGGTGGTGTAACGATGATGAGACCGTAATGTTCCTGGCGGTCGCCGAAGAATACCGTGGTGGGTGGAGGTAATATTAATAAAGGCGTAGAAAGGCAAAGTTATCGAATTACCGAGTACTCTTTATCCGCAAGTTAAACAAGTTAAACATCGGTCGATCAGACTTGGCAACAATGGACGCATGATGTTGACGAAACTTAAGACATATTTTGTTACTGATTTTAACCGAAAAATAGTATTAGGCGTATTGAGTTTGCCCATAGCTTTAGAAACTAACCTAGAATTCGAGTAAAAGATACACAAATATGAAGTTATATGGAGCAGTGAAAATTTTTATCGCGCTTTGTTTTACTTTTCGCAGTTTTGCCGTTAAAAAACTTTCGTCGGTTATTTGCTTTGTATGCACATTTTATGTGTGTGTACACATGCATAGCAGAAAAATGCCTCCGAGGTATACGCTCCGCACACTCTAACTGTTATTGTTTTATAAAAGTTTGAACGTAAATTTAATTTATCGCCGCGAATTTTTCGCGGAAATTTTTCTCAAACACTGTATAAATTTTGCGATGCGCAACTTGTTTAACTTTAAGTTTAAAGGAGGACGCTGAAATTTATTACCGAAATTATTTTTATATCTTTGTTTTTTTTTTCTGTTGTTGCAGAGTGAAAGAAGAGAACAACACTTCACGCCCGGACGATTCACGCCTATAAAACTGCCTGAAGGTCAGCCAATCGATGGTGTCGCCCTTTTGGATTTCCCGCGCCACCGACTGCGGCTGCTGGAGAAATTGGGCGAGGGCGATTTCGGAATGGTAAGCTCAAGTTTTACATCTTCCTACAACATTTTCTACTTGTGGCAAATCGAATTACGCATTGCGAAATAATCTCATTTTTCGTTTGCGTTTCATTAGATTTTCTTCGTTTAATCATAATCAAGTCGTGATTAAATTTGCTTCGAGGCCGAAGGAGGCGCAAAGTGAATAATTAATTATTCACTTTAAATGTAGCGTCCCGTGTAATCCTTTTTGGAGAGCGCGCACAAAAAGTCACATTCGAGTCACACTATTTGTTTTTCGTATGTCTAGACGCTAATATCAACACATTCGAGAATTTTACATAATCTAACATACGATAACGATTTTTTTTTGTTTGCCCGCTTAGAAATTTCAATACTTTTATGTTTTCATTATTTTAAAAGCTGAAAAAATGTTACAACAACACAATGAGTCTTGATTTGCATTTTTTACGGATTTATTTAAAATAATTGATGTTTAATTTAATCCTATTTAAGCAAAAAATTTAGAGTTTGTTTTTGTCAGAGTTTTTATTCACTCATTTTACTTTTTAATAAATCCAGTCCGTAACACGGCGTTAAAGAAAAAAATTGGGAAATAAGGCCCGGAGAGCCGAAGCAGTCAAACGTGCAACGCAAACGTGAACGAGCGTGAAGTTAATTAATTTTTAATAAGCGCCCCCGGTGTCCGACGAAAAACTCCAAGATGTATTTTATGCGCGCAAACCGGCTTTGAAGTTCGTGGAGTCGACGCACTGCTAATTGAAATCGAATTTTTACAATTTGCACATAATTTGGCTGGAATTCAATGTCACTGCGTAAGAAGTTTTATTTTTGGAACACGAATGAATGTTGTAAATATTTAACGCGCCATATTGGATCGTCAATTATTTAAATGAAATTTTTTGCGCTTTTTTGTCGGCCCTTGGGTGCGCGTCGCGTGTACTTATGGAAATTTCGCAATTTCACAAAGAGAATTTCTCGTTCGCTCATCTCTCGCGCACGTTGAGATGCGATGGGTTGGGAGGCGGGCGAGGCAAATACTTTGCGCAACTTTCTTTATACTTTGTGCCCGTCGGTGGAATTCATGTTACATGTTGCGCCGCCGCCGCCGGGGGCGCTTTTTAATGCGACGTCAGGAACACGCTAATGGTAATGTACAGGCTTCGACCGAGCGAGCGAAAATAAACAATATTTTTTGAGTTTAAATTTTTATAATTAATTATATATTCCGTAGGTAGGATAATTTTTTGCATTGCGCTGACCAGTAAATAAATTCCAGCATGGATTCAATTTGTCCGACAGGATATGTTTGTTTACGCTACGCCTTTGTTTTCGCAATATTAGTTAATAACAGTTAGGACGCACCTCCCGAGGGCCCAATAAAGGATGGCCAGGGCGACGTCCGGCTTCCTGCCGACCGCGTTTTCTTTCGTTTCACATCGTTGTGCGGCCAGAGCAAATATTGACGTAGAATAAGTGCCGCCGGTGCGATAATAACATCCTCGCGCATCGTTCCGGGGACAAATTTTATCAACTTATCAACGGACTCCTCTACCCCTCGGATATCGGTCGCATCAATCTTCATCTGATACACAAAACATCCCAAAGCACCCGTAAAATAGAAAAAAAATACACGCACGCACAAAACGTTTTATTTTTCTTCCTCGCATGGTACGGGTAGGATTATCCCGAGGGTTCAAAATGAAATCCGCCAAAGATCATGACGCGAAACTGAAGAAACTGCGAAAAACGAAAAATATACGAACGGAATGCAGAAGCACACAAAGAGATAGCAATGGACGGGATGCAATCAGGCGTTGCAAGAGTGCAACACATGTCTCGTTCAACCCCCGCACCAAACAACCACCCCTCTCGTCTCAGATGGCTGCGCGTCCATTTCGCGTCCCTTCACGGCGCAATAATCGTCTTGTTGCATCAAGCGCAAGCGGGCCAAACTACTCGGAATCGTTTAATATCGCCATCGCCATGTGTGCCACCATCACCCGCCTCTGTGTGTCGCAATCTGACAAACAAACACACAACTTTATATTGTTTTCGATGTTTTCGGAATCTTCAAACTAAAATTTCTTATTACATTTTTCTGATAAAATTCCGTCATAATTTTTAATTGAAGTTGTCAGCGCTAAATTTCGAAATTGCTCTGTTTGCACGGGGCGCAACATTAAAACGTTCGATTTCGTTCATTTCTGGCGCTAGTTTTCTTGGCGCAATAAAAAGCGAAATAAAACTGAAATATAACGCTTCCGGGTGCGAGTTCGCTGCGAAATCATACTCGCCATTGGCCTGGCGAGCACATTGCGGCCACAAACGTAATTAATTACATTTTCGTCTCGGAATGAATGCCCCCGAGGCACATTGAGCAACACGCAAAGTGCTGATTCGAAAATCTTTCAATGCAATGAAAGAAAAGCGCTTCTTATATTTATATTTTTCTAATGTTTTTTTTTTCTTCTACCTGTGTGTTACTAATTAAAACTTTTCTTTTCGGTGCTTAATTCCGAATGCACGGATATGTTTTGTGTTTCTTTGAGTGCGGGAGTTTTTCCACTTGTTTACGTTTTAATCCGCTTTGAAACGTTAAGTCAACTTATGAACTTGTCAAGGTTCATGAGGCGCAACGCAAAGGAAACAAAGCGCACAAAGGCACCCCTTGGAAAAACCGATTAAGAGCTGAATAACAGAAAAATTCGCTTCTAACCCAACCAACTGAAGCGCTGCGTGCTGTTTCCACAAAAGTTCAGAGTCGGGAGTTACTTCTAAGGTGGAAATCGAGGGATTTTACTCTCCCCTGTTCTCTAAACATCTCCGATTCTATTTTATTTATTATCAAGTCCAAACGCATAATATAAATCTCTATTTTTCTCTACTTTTCTTTAAATAAGTAATAAATGCCGCTGTCACATCTCCTAAAATGTGCACCACTTCTAAGTCGCGAAAAATGTATTAACTTTATGTTTTTTGTCCTTTCAGATACATCTTTGCGAAGCAGAAGGCTTACCAGATTTCAACGGCGGTTCGTCCTTTCACAAGAAGCAGCTGGTCATCGTGAAGAGTCTGTGGCGAGGATGCGCCGACTCCAAACGGTAAAAAAAGATCTTTTCCTTCTATTCTGTATGCCCGGTCGTGGTTTTTCTTCATGGTTTTCGATTCAACGCGATTTTTCTCTAATCCTCTGCATTGTGCGCTGCGCACAGCGACACGACGGCTTTATCCGGCGGAGCGCGCGCGCTTTGTGCGCGTACTTTTAGTGTGTAATTGGCTTGTTTTACGGTGAGCGGCGAGTCCTTCGACGCCCATTCAACCATCGAGCGACGAGTTAATGCCACGCTAGCGTCCGAGAGCTGGGGCTGCAGCTTTTACTCCATTGCCGCCGCGTGCGTGCGTGTGGGGGACGGTTAATTTCGAACGTAAAAGTGAAAATAAAAATCGCCCCTTAAGTCGTTACAACAACAACACGAAATCGCCCGAGTGCTAGTACCCCCGTGATATTAAAATATAAAAATTACGAGCGACCGAATTTTACATCTTGTTATAAAATTAGAATTATAATCTCAAAAGACGACGCAATTTTATGCTACATTATATAAAAATCTTTTTTTTTTTTGGATTGATCTTTTCATTTTTTTGGTTTTACGGTTAAATCTATTATATAACCATTTAAAAATTATAGTGAACAATTCAATTTTTTTATTTGATTTTTTGATAGTATTGCGATGATTCCCTCGCCGCGTCGCACACGCTGCTTTAATAATAAAGTTCATTATCCTAAACAAACGCGTGCTAAGTGGTGACGCGCGGTGCATAATGTATACGAGCGACGTGCGTTATGATACGCATGATTGTGTGTTGTGTTTGCAGGCACGAGTTCCTGCGCGAGAGCAGCTGGCTGGCGGGCCTGCGGGACACGAACATCGCACGCGTCGTCGGCCTCTGCAGCCAGGATGAGCCGATGTGCGCATTGCTGGAGCACGCCGACATGGGTGAGCTGCCGCGCTTCCTTGCCCAGCGCGCCAACGAGGACGACAATCAATGTCCGGCGATTAGGTGAGTACCGAGCCTACGACTTTCGTCCTTCCATCTGTCCGCGGCATCACTTGCCAGATGTTTATTTCCCTCGATACTTGCCATCTGATGATGTGGGTTGTTTAGGTCAGAACCGGAGTAAAAGTTTTTAGCAAATATTGGTGGAGGCGCTTTCTAAATTTTTGAAACGCTGTAAAAATTTAATCCTTGGTCGATTTTTCATTTTTAAATTTTAAATTTATTGAAAATTATAGATACTACTATTTACGGGTGATTTATGGAATGTTTTTAAATTATTTTTGCACAACATTGAGTTAATAGACTGAAAAATATGTTATTAACTTTGAAATGCCTTTTATTTTTTATTTTTAAAGTTATATAAAAATTATGCTTTGATAAAATTTAAATTATTCATTTTTTAATTGTGCGCTGAGGCAATTTTTTGATATTTACTCAAAACTCATGCGTCATATGTTTACGAAATTCATCCCACAAAAACAACATCAAATTATTTACATTTTTCTGCAAAAAAAATAAACCGTCAACCATTGCAACGTTTCTAATCGAAAGTTTTGACTGCGCAAATATTATGGACCGTATAAATGCGTCTCTGTTACTAATTTCGTAAATCGGGAAATGACCCACACTTACACTGTGAAGCAAGGTAGTTAACAACACACATGCGTCGTTACGCGGAACGTAAAATGATTGATTGCCAAATCAACCTTTTCACCAATCCAATTTGAACGTCCCCGGCCGCCGCACACGGCCTCAGCGGCGGTGGCAGCGACGGCGAGTAAACTCAATCAATAAATACTCGAGCCGTTCGCCGCGAGAACACACAACGTGCACGTAAACGCGCAAAGGCGCGCTGTAAAGACCCGTCGCTCATTCATTCATCTCCAGCAGCATCGGCCACATGAATAACGAAATAGATTAGAAAATAACTTGCTTTGATTTTTCCCGACTTCGTTGATGAAAAAGTCGTTTGCAGTCGTTAGCTATCGACACCGGTTGCGGCAGGTATACGAACGCGCATGTTTTGCATCATTTGCAACTGAGAGGACGACCGGGATGCATTTGCAAATTTTGCAGTTTATCCAATTTCAATCAAGCCTATGTGTGTGTGTGTGTGTGTGTGTGCCGGTGCGTTCTGGTGTATTCATCGACCGGAAGCGAAATCGCTTGTTTGCGGTGGCCGGCGGACGCACGCGTGTGCGGCGTGCTGTCAGGGAACGCAAATTGATTTCGCATCGGGGGTAGCTGCCCTAAGCGCTCGTGCATCTGTTTTATCGCCGTTTGAGACACACTCGCGGACTGTTCATCCGTAAACTAAACTTTCAAGTTTTTTGACATATTTAAAAACCAAAACTTCTCCCAGTGCATTCACAAATCAATTTCATGCAGTATGCCGTAACACATAGAAAGTAGGAATCATTTTTATACGTTTTCATCATCTTGTTGTGTTTTATTTTTGTTGGGCGCATGCGTTATTTCGATATTCTGCGATATCGGATGATGTCAAACGGGTGAAATATTGGCCTTTCGCTGCGCATAAAGGGGCCGCACGAATGAGACGATATGGTCATGAAAACACAGCAAAAAATGCCAATTTCAGCCCGCCAAGGGAGAAAAAAATGCCGCTGCAGAAAAAAAGACACCTACAAGCCATAGCAAATTGAAACGAAACTGGGTCACATAGTAACAATTATCATTAAAATAATTCTTGCACTTTGCTCCATCTAGTTTATTTCCTAAATCCGCGCTGAACATGTTTCAGGAGTTATTTGATTACAACACAATTATAATTATCCAGCCTTGCAGAAAGCATAACAAAAACAGTGAATGCTAGCGAACAGCAGTTTTATTCCGCACGCATTTTTCATGATTTCCATGTGCATGATAAATATGCGAATAGATGAGCGCATGAAAATATGAAAATATAGAGATAGATGTTTGAAAATAAAATTGAGTGCCAATAATTTATTTATTATTCATTTTCGACTGCGCGAGCGCACGCCGTGGATATTGGATGATGTGCAGATAACAAATATTGAATTGATAAACTCGCTCGGTTGTTCCTCACCCTCACAATTCTATAGTTCCGTCAAAAAAAAAAACGCGCGTTGATGACTGATAAAAGGCTTTCATCCATTTTTAAATAAATAAATAATTGAATAGATAAATAAATAAGTACGTTATGAAATACATTCATAAATAGGAATCACTCTGGAAAGACGTAGCTGCTATTGGTGTCAACATAACCTCTTTCGAGATCTCTCGTATCTGTCACTTTTATTCAGAACAGCAAAAAGCACTATAACTTTTAACACGGTGCAAATATTTGCATTATTTTGTTAACATATTGTTTATTTTAGCAATATTTAACCATACGGTGATTTAAAATAAATTTAGACCATAAATAACAACGTTATCTACACAAAATATTATGAATGGCATATTTTGAAAATTTATCATTTATAACAGAGTAAATAAAATGTTATTATATGCTACATGCAGTGTGGATGGTAGAACATTTCATTGGACATTCTTTAGGGTTAAGATTACATAAATTGATCCAAGGGTTAATTCGCTATAGGCGCTTAAAGTTTAGGAAACATGCGGGACTTGTACGCGCGACTTCACCATTATTGTTAAAATATAATTATATTTCGAAGGTTGTTATCTCGTACGAGTAATTAATTAGCGTTCGGCATGCGTGTTCGTTACGTAATTATTTTGAAATTTTCACCTCATTACGGTATAATTAGTGCGTGCGTTGCCATCGCGCGCGGTGCGTTCCTTCAAAGAGACGGCAGGATTTGGAAGTTTTACAGCTTTATATCGCTTTGACGACGACGATGTCGACAACGTAACGAGCGCGCTCCGGGGCGGCTTGCAAATGGCCTTTTGTGCGAGGCATCCGTAAACGTTATCCGATTCAAACTCCACGCTAATAAGTTATTACGCACGTGATGATTAATTAATGAGAGCAAGGCGAACTGGCTTTTTATCTGATTAAAAACTTCCACCTGTTCAGGAATTTTGCAGCTCATCGCCACCCCCGCGGGAAGGCTGGAGCGTCTCCGGTTTCGTTTAATAGCGCATTTTTTTGTGCGCGCACGGATTTAATATAAGAGGACAGTTTTTTGTTGAGGCGTGTTATTGTATTTTTTGGCCTGCGAGCTGGAAAAGTTACAATTTAATTTTCTCTATTAATTTCGTCTGCGATGCGCCGGAAATTTTGTCTGGAGACATGGGGGCGGCGGAAAAAGTTGCACAAGGGTGGTTTTTGGGGATGTGCAGACATACGGCCCGTGGAAGTTTTATCTAAGGCGCACATTATGAATATTGCCGCGACACTAATTACTGCATAATTTACAGCTGCTTAAGGTGGCTGCTGAGGCGGCACTGAGCATTGAACATTGTCACGACTTTGCCTTCTTCTTCTCTTTCGTCTCTTCGGCGTTGTCGTTGCCTGCCAACCGCTGTAAACGATTCGGAAAACGCTCCCTCGCTGATTCAATGATTTATTGCGCGCAATGACGGCGAGTTTTTTTTCTCCTTTGGTGAGCACGACCGCCCGCCTGCAGTTACACCAATTCTTCAATTGTGCCCACCCGCCATTAGCACCGCACGCGCCGTCGACGCGAAGAAAGCAAAACTTGCGGGAGTGTAAAAAATGACGCGATAATTAAACTCGTGCGCGCGCCTTTGAAACTTTTTAATTTCGCTCGCATTTTTCCACTCGCGCACACAGAAAAAAAACCTAAGGAGGCGAAAGTAAAGTTGGTTGCCTAGTGTAATGGTGACGTATGTCAAGATGGCGGCTTTTCACGGCGTTACCTGTCGCAAAGCTTATTTATTGTTGCGTTCGTCAGAGCGATTTGAGCTGTCTGGCGGTGAGAAAACGACGGTATTAGGCGACATTCATTCGGACGCGTTTGTTTGATGAGACTTTTATGCAAATAAACTTCTTGCTTCACAAAACCGCAAAAACGACTATAATTGATTTTTTTGGCGTTCGTAAAACGTACGAAATTAAACTTTGGAATGTTTCAGAGAGTTGGGGTGTGAAATGTCAGGCGAAACATTTCGTTTCACAGCTTCGACGACAACCGCCGCCACAGTCACAGTAACTTAATCGATTTTCCGCGTTCGCCCAATGCGCTAATTTCCAACGTGGCGGTAAATTACCGAAACCGGAAGTTGTCACCTTCGGACCGGCTTCTGGTCAGCGTTTGTCGAAATAATTCCATCGATCGCTTTCCGGACCCAGCGGCCAAAAGACTATATACTCCCCGCCTTAAAACTATCATAATTTATATGTTACCAACTCCCCCTCTCTGGGCGGCACGTAATAAAAACTTATTATGCAACAGCAGCAACAATGCGCGAGTCGAGCAATTTTTACTGGCTTTATCTCATATACTTCCGGAATGAGAATGAGATTGACTGCTGCAATATTAAGCCGCGGGGGTGTAGGCCAGCGTATTTTTTGTTTTTATGTGGCGGCTGCAAAACGCCGAAATACGTTTATATTCCGCGGCAGGTCGTAAACATTTTTAGAACGCGCCGAGCATGATTTATTTACACCCCTCGGCGCGGGCACGCGCGCACACCAACGAAGCCAAGACGTCCCCATACCCTGCACTGCGGGATTAACTATCGCGTTCGCAAAATTAGTTTTTCGCCCGGCGCGGAATGTTCGGGGATTATGTTAATGACACCCGGTACGAAGCCAAAACTGCTGCGAGAGCCAATATTCATTCCAATATTGGCGCGCCCCGCACCGGGGGATTCCCCGAATTACTTTTGCACCTTCCTGCGGCGAAAATAAGAAAACTGGCGCTACCTGGGTTTTTAATTCGCAGTTTGACTCCGCGCAATAACCGAACGCCGACTGCTATATTAAAAATCCCACACGTTCATCACGGCCAGGGACGGGGGAGGCAAGCTCGTTATAATTTGCTAATGAAAATATGGCATGTTTCTAATGAAAACCTTTACTACGTACGGTGGTCCAGCTGTTTCTGGTTTCACACGTTTTTGTATCGCCAAGCAGTTTTGCTGTTTCGTGCGGCTAATGTAATTAATGTTCGCCTCAACGGAAGCGCTCGTAATTAACTCCGTTTCCACTATGGCTGCCTTAAGGTAGTGCAACCCACATTGTAGGTTGTACATTACACATGCATTTCTTTATTTAGATGTTGTTTTTGTTTGGAATTACGAGCTATTGGTGTTGCGAGTGGGGTGGGTGGCTGAAGCAAAAGGGAAATTTCCCATTTTAATATTAAAATATGCCGAGCGGAAATTAACAGACGTGATCCCGGGGCCAAGCGGCGCACGCTGGAGGCGGCTGAATATTCGTATAACTCGTTCACTATTATCTGTAATAAATAACGTCATATTCCGGTATCGTGCGCGCCCGCACACACACACATACACTTGCAGCGAGTACGGGAGTTGCAGATATGAATTATACATTCAACCCTTGCCGCCGCCGCTGCCGCTTTCTCCTCCGTCGGCGTGTCTCTTTCGTTGCGGCGTTCGTACAGCGGCCCTTACACATTATAATATAATCCGGCAATGCTAATCTAACTAATTCTACTTAAATGCCGTATTAATGTTGACGTTTCTATATGGCGCGCGCGCGGGGGTGGTCTACCCGCCTCCCATCGAACGGGTGTGCGCCGTCGCGCGGAAGGAAAACAGTAACACACATCGAACAATGAAAGAACGGCTCACGGCGTGTTCGCCCAAACGAGATGTCACGCTTCGAAGGGGAAGCATTTATCATTAACATGGCGCAACATGACATAACTTGAATTATTTCTGCGCCAACGTGCTGCTGCTGCTCTTCTCGGCATTAATTGCGTTGTTTTCCAGCTACGGTTCGCTGATCTACATCGCGACGCAGATCGCTTCCGGCATGAAGTACATGGAGTCGCTGGAGCTCGTGCATCGGGATTTGGCCGCTAGGTGAGTACATGACATAACCAAACATAACCTTACTTTACAACTAACGTTAAATTCAATAAGTCTCTCTTTATATAATATATTATGCTATGTTTTCTTGCAGGAATTGTGTGATTGACAAGAACTTCACAGTAAAAATTTCCGATCATGCAATGTACTGCGATCGTTTCGAAGGAGATTATTATATTAGCGACACCAAAAGTCGCCTACCAATCAGATGGATGTCTTGGGAAAGTCTTCTCTTGGTACATTTTTAAAAATCATTGTTTTGTTATTATGGTTTATTAATTTGTGCATGTTTTAGGGCCGACAAACAACGAAAAGTGATGTTTGGTCCTTTGCGGTGACACTGTGGGAAATCCTGATGTTGTGCAGTCAGCAGCCATATGCAGAGCTGACCAGCGAGCAGGTGGTAGAGAACGGCAACCGGTGGTATCAAAACGACGGCTGCCAACGCTATCTCCCCAGGCCGGCGGCATGTCCGCGCGAAATCTACGACCTGATGGGCGAGTGCTGGAAGCGCAACGCCGCCGACCGCCCCCGCTTCTCAGAGATTCATCTCTTTCTTCAGCGTAAGAATCTGGGCTTTCTGCCCGCACCAATATGCTAATGAATTAAAAACAACTAAAACCACTTTTTAACCGACCCAACTAACAATTCTTATTATTTTCTCAACACATCATTGACTCATGTCTGCTGTTAGATGTCATTGTGCGGTTAGTCGAGCGAAATACGAAATCTAATTGTGATTACTTTCCAGATTCCATGTAAATCCCCCTTCTCCACAAAATTGGCATCATTCACATAGGCTAATTGCGTCATCACATATACATAACCTCACTCGGTCACTATTCACCATCATCACACACATGGACACACCACACGTACGAGGTATGTAACCCGGTTAACACACATCTAACCTTAACATAAACATAAGGCTGATCGTTTCTCTTTCACCCCCGCGCCCTTTAATAATAAATTTTACCCCGATGACGAGTATCGATTCAATGGTTGTACGATTTATGCGCGTGTAGAAGTAAATGAAATTTGAATTAATTAAACATATAAGTGTATAAAACGTATTGTGATATTGGCACGTTTCCACAGTCGACAATTCGGTAAAACCATATCTTTATATTATTAATAAAAACCATCGTCGATGAGAAAAAAAAAAACAAATAAAAATACTATTTGTACTTAACTTAATTGAAACAACACACATACACAGACATAACACACTCGAAACAAAACACTTCTTGAATTATGAGCTTCCTCTATTTGATGTATAATCTTCTATACACGACGAAACGATAACTAATTACGATAAACTAATCATAAGTCGATTTGAAATTGATTTCCATCATACATTCATTCATTGTACATACCCCATTTATATTATTGATATTACGAGATGATCAAAACATGTTATTTAAACTAAAGAGAATCAGTATTAGTACGAAGTCACGCATGTGACATGACGTGACTTCACAATGGCGGTTTGCACACAATGAAATTTAAATAAAAAAACAAAACGTTACAAGTTTTGCAACTAACGAGAACGAACACAAGTGAATTCTAGTCATACGCAAAAATTTAAGAAAACGAAAAAAACGAACAAATAAAACGATAAGGTGTTGTTAATATACTGTATAAGTAATTAATTAGTATGATAAGAATTGATTATCAATTAAATTGCTTACAAATCACTTCTTGTTCTATAAATCATTTCATTTCAATTCATTTGTATTCATTTATACATTTGTGCTCGCTTGTTTTCGATCTTCGAAACATGTGTCTAAAACCTTTCCAGTGCCATTTCAAACCCTTGTACATATTAATTAAAAATTTACTAATACCATAAAGAAAAACGAGTAAACGATAACTGTACATAATGATATAATTAAATATATTTATTTAAATTAACATTAATTGCACACACATTCACACGCACACACTCATACGATTATTTTTAGACTCTATTGTAAATTAGTGATGATCTGGGGAGTTTGGTTGGTCATTACAAAAATATCCCCGGATATGACGTTTGCCAAACATTGGTTAACTTCTAAATGAATGTATTTTCTACTGACACGTTTCATTGTTGTCACTGGTCACGCGCGACACACTTGAACAATGAAATTAATAACCGAACTAACAAACACAACCAAAAATAAAACACCTCTAGATGTATTAAGGCTCGAGAAGAATGACTAAACTCGTATGCCATATTGACAAAATTTACGCGTAATATATGACAAATATGGCGGACGAGTTTACGCACGTATTTAGAGCTCACAGATGTATCGAATAATATGTGAATTGTACGTTTTTATCCGTTTCTTCAAACAAGCCCCGAAACTCTGTCAAACACGAAAAATGTAATCCTTAAATTTCCAGCACAGGACAATCAAGTGCAAGGCGCAGCATAAGCTTAATAGATACAATTTTAATTAGCACATATGACGAATCATACGATAACACAATAATTAAACGTACATTTAATAACCGAGCATAAACTACTAAGGAAACTAAAGATACTAACGATACTAAAGAGCCAACATTAAATCCAAAATACCTACATAAATTTAATCGTTTTTAATGCATATTTATAAATGTGTTGCACAATGATGATGAAGAAAACAAAAGAAAATAAAATACAATTCCGTAATAATTAAGTTGAACGTGTTTCGTCTCTATTGTATTGCTAACTTAAGCTAACGAAGCAAATATGAATGGTGTTTTTTCATTATTCAATCTCATTCAATCAATTTGTCTGTCTGTATAAATTTCTCGATGGGACAATTCATGAAGTAAACACATATTGACGATTAATAACGTAAATGTTCATTATATTAAAATACATATCACAGTTGACAAAATAAATGAAACAACAACACGCGGATAATAATTGAAACAAAAAAATTGCTGAAGAAATAACGCTTTTTTGATTGTCATCGAAACTATATTACATTACGAATTGATTGCTGTTTGATTAAATTGTATTAGCCGTATTTATAAAGAAATATCGATACATTTAACTATGAATGCGAGAGGAAAATATTTAAGGGGTGGAACGAAACTTATTGTATTGTACATATGAAGACTTGATTTGTTTCGGTTCGATTATTGATACACGCATTCTAGAAATTTACTTATAAATTTAATTATAATGATGTTCAAATTACAAAAATGATATGATGATAAAAATGATATTGACATAAATAACTTGTGTTGTTACTAACATTATTTTTAAGTTTTGTAGTTTGTAGTGTAGAAATTGATTTTTTGTTTGTGCATATTTGTTGATTCCCTTTCGTAGTATTTGAATTAATTAGGACAAGCGCTAGTTCAACGATTACTTAACGCGATGAATAATGGTCGTCATAAATTTCGCACTCAAGCATGCGAATATATCTGCCGGGGTATCGTATCGCGAGATCTCACTGAGATTGCTAATGTAGGTTGAAGTTGAACGAATCCATGAATCTATGCCTATATGCAGACTGTTCGACAACCGAAAACGAACTTGGAGTGGGTTGGCTTCAGTGTGAATTGGTTTTCAGTCGTCTCGTGACGTCTACGATTACGCCTACATGAAATATTTAATTGAAAGCTAATTAATGTGTTATTTAACTAACGTGTGAAAATGTCTTACGTGAAAATTGTTTGTGTTTGTTTGATTTTTTGTAAGTAATCACGATTTTTACGTTTCGTAGAGTTAATTATTGTTTTGCAGTTTTTATAACTTGCGACTCAACTTGGTCATCAAATGAGAAAATGACAATTGACACTTTTGCAAGTACGGATAATCGGTTAATTTTACTCAGAACTTCTCGACATATTACTACAAATATTATCATGTTAAAACGACGTCTCAAAAAGTTAATTCAACGTAGAAAATTGCTCTACAATCGACTAATAACTACAAAAAATAAAATGGCGGCTAGGAAACATAAACACAAACTGCGTACACTCCAAAAGCAGATCCGAGGGCTACGACAAAAGTTACAAAAACACCGCAAGAATAAAAATGCAAAATTGTTGAAATCTTCAAACAATTACGATATTCAAATTAAGAACTTTCAAGAGCTGCGCAAGTTACACGAAAAGTGCAAGAATCAAGGATGTTCCCAGCTATGCTCACCCGAGGTGGATATCATCGCATCTACATCTAAATGTCACTGCCATCGTGGATTTTATCTAGACCCAAGAGATAACAAAACATGTTTGGATATAAACGAATGTAAAATGTTGTCAGCATCAAATAAATGCGAGTATAAATGTATCAACACGATGGGTAGCCATTACTGCGCATGTCCACATGGCAAGAAGTTATCGTTTGATAAGAGGACCTGCATGGACATAAACGAATGTTTCTTAAACAATAATCATGGCCCGTGTCAAGATGGTTGCGTTAATCTGGAAGGTTCCTACCGTTGTACTTGTGATCGCTTTTCAGGCACACGTTTGAACCAAAACGGTCATTCATGCGGGGATATTAACGAATGCCTGGAGGGAACATCCGGTTGTAGTCATGATTGCTTCAACGTGTACAATTCTTATGTGTGTGGATGTCCCGACGGAATGCTTCTTGATTCTGATGAGAAAACCTGTCTTGGTAGGTCAATATATTTATTTATACAAATGTATTTGTGATTATGGATTGTTTTTCTCAGATATCAATGAATGTCAACGCGTGGAAGTTAGGAAAACATGTCTTGGAAAATGCATCAACACAATTGGATCTTACTTCTGTTTAGAAGCAGACGTCAATGGTTTGTATCAACATGAAGTCATATGTGAACAGATGACTCCGAATCCAGACGGATATTATTTATGTAATCGTAATGACACTGTTAAGATTGTTCTAAAAGGTATTACTAACCGCGAACATTTTTTGAATGCTCCAGGTACGATCTGCACGTATCATACTAATTATCACGTGCCGCTTACGAGTCACGTGTGTAATGATCGTGCTACATGGGAAGATTTTCCCTTAACTATTATTAATAATACAATCAATAATTCCTCTAGGAAGTAGTATTTTAATTGTATTGACTTTGATTACTTTTAGTTATTAATTTGATTTATTCTATACAGAAAATGAAATAATTTATTACTTTGTACAGTTTTTTGGTAGAAGTTTGGAACACCGCAGTTTTTCGAGTCTTCAAAACAACGATTTAGTAGTACTTGCATTCTGCGTGCAGTGTTTCAAATTCAAGGTTTGACTCAAAGAAACGAACATAAATAAAATGCCTTAATAAATTTCGGTGTTTATAAACAAACAAGTTTCTCTTATCTCGTTCAACTTGTGCACCGTCACCTCGTTGTCGACGCACGCGGTCGGCTTTCGTACGCTGTCAGTCTCATTTGTATCGTCAGGTGATCCGGACGCGCACTCTTCGCGATACATTAGGTTTATCAATATTTCTTCGTTTCATTGCGTAATATTCATAATTGCACTGTTCGTCTGTGCTGTGCGGTGATATGTGGTGTTCGTTAAACGCGGTTTGAACATACGTAGATTTACCTGTGCATGTGTGATGTGCCGTCGGCCGTCGGATACTCTATCAACTTCTGCGTAATATTCATTTTTCACTGTTCGTCTGTGTTGTGCGGTGATATGCGTGTTCGTTAAACGCGGATTAAACATATGTACATTTAACTCTGAATGTGTGATGTACCATTGACCGTCGGATACTCTTCGATACTTTAAACTATTTAGCGAAAAGTCGTTATCAACTTCGCGTTGCCTCTAATCAGTTTAGTGTTTTCACCGATGCTACTATATGTGTAATTACATCTGCTTACATCTTATACTGGATTTCCAAAGAGAAAATCTTATTTTGCGCTAAGGTATGTTCTCGCATTCCATATCCATATGTTTTACCTATAACATTCTGGGTTTCACTTCAACCGCGTGGTCTTCACACATATAAAGACATAATTGTTTTCACTACTACTTCGTAAGTAGTAATAATTTTTGTTAAAATCACATACGTTGTATTATATATTCATATTTTCATTTTTTAATTGTTTGCTTCACGAATTTTGCCTTTAATCGCGTTAAATGAATATCTTTCAATAGTTCAAGATGATCGCATGCCGACGGCTGCGTTCTCGGCTCGCGCTGCCGGTATTTATCTACATGCTGGTGTTTACATGTTGTTCTACATGATGTACAATAAAATTCGTATTTGTGTTTTATGCTTGTAATAAAATCCCATCACTGTTCCTTGATATCCAGGAGAATTAGCGTCTCTTCTTAAATGTTCTGTTTTTTTCGCTATGTCAATTGTCTGCTGTGTTTATCTATTTCCAGTGGAAAATTGTTAAATTTATTAATTTCTGGTTTTTCTGATTTTTCTGGTGGTACTTAGTATTTTATTATCAAATGTAATTGTACTCTTTTTATATCATCTTGTATGTTCTGTCTGTTCTGTATGTTCTTGTGACACCCTGTATATTAATTTTTGGTAAGTCTACGCGAAAAGTGGCTATGATATATGTTTATCTACTTATACCTTTCGTTTGCTTTTAAAATATTATCTTTTTGTAACACCCTGTATATAAATTTTCCACCATGCTGAAGATTTATGTGTTTTTACTTGTACTGTGAAATTTCCTACAAAATTATGTTATTTTATTTTTGCAACACCCTGTATATCGATTTTCCATAATACTGAAGGTTTATGTTTTTTACGTGTACTGTGAATTTTCCTACAAAATTCTATTATTTTCTTTTTGTAACACCCTGTGTATCAATTTTGCACAGTGAATGTTTTTCTGCTTGAACTTTGAATAATTGTTTTTAATAATATTGTTGACCCTGTAGAGTTGTTTTTCGTAAGATGAGAACATTTGTTACTGTTATGTGTTTTCCTTTGTGAGTTTCCGTTCCTGTGGTACTTGTCTGTATGTGCCGGCGTATGCTAGTTGTAAGACTTGTTTCAAAATGGCGGCATGTACCTATTTTGTAAGAATTGTGTATTCTAGTTTTGAATTATATGAATATTATAATAAAGAAATGTTAAGAAATATTATGTCTTATGCTTTGAATGTACCCCTTCTATCATTTCAGGTAGAGGTCTCTAAAAGAGTTCCCTCTCTCAGGGGATGATCCCCTCTATAAAAATTGTTAAGGTAACCTGTATGATTTGTGTACTCCTTCTCTCATTTCAGGTACAGGTCAGAACTTGTAAGAATATTTTTAAGTGTCACCTCTCTTGAGGCGACTTAAAACTTAGAAATATTTGAACAAGACCTTATAAGGATTGTCCTTATAAGGAGTTCCCTCTCTCTGGGGGTGATCCCCCACCATAAAAATTGTTGATATGCCTGATAATTTCGGGGATGAAGCGCAGAGACATCGTAGCTGTAGGTTGGGCCGGGAGCAATGGACGCATCGAAGCAGTGGGCGATCGACCAGAGCGCCCGAGGCGCTCTGGGAGATCGTCCTTAGACTGTCTAACGACACGGGCCAAAAAATTTAAAAATCTGATCCTCCCCTGTTCTCTTTCTTCTATCTCCTCCTCTTCTCTACTCTGTTCTCTTCCATCTGTCTTCTACTTTTCTCTGCTACTCCTTCTTCTATTTCTCTGTTCCCGCACCTCCACATGCTTTCTTATTTCTCATATTGCCTTCACTTGTATTTCAATTTCTCTTATATTTCGTTGCAATTCATATATGCAACCCAAATTACACCTGATATTTTTATATTTGAGAAAAATGCCTTCTATACCTGAGATTCGATCCGTGTCTGCTAGCATGCCAGCAGGTGCACGTCTCCACTCGACCACCGAGTGTTTTTATCATTAATATTTGATTCTTCTATTTATGTTTCTATTTTTATCATATTTTTAAAAACAACAACACAAGCCTTAGCTGTGTTGCACTCGCTCCACGCGTATAATATCTATATCGATATGTGTGAAGCGCTCATATACTGAAAACGGCAAAGAGGATACCAAAAACAAATATGAATGAGATATTCATTTATATTAAATTTATTTTATTGGCAACATTTACAAATAAAAACAGTTTTTATATAGAAAAATATCAACAACTATTAAATACCGCGGAACACTTGCCTTACAATATGCGCACATTTGCAACTCTTCTGCGATGAGTATTCGGAACTCCAGGACCGTTGTCAGTGTAAACTTCTTCCCTGGGCACATCCGTTGTCTACTTATTCGAATTAAACATAAATCAAAGTTATTCTGGGCGATAACCGACAGCCGACGGCACGCACGCCGTGCACATGCAGGCCAACACGAGTGCAGTATAATCCACACGCGAAAAATAATCTCCGACGACCGACAGTAGTTCACTCGTGCTTATTATCTGGCGAAATTCCGTTCACGCGCAATTCTAATAAATGTCGTCGATTGCTTATTGAATATAAGTCGATTTACGATCAATTTATAATAGGGAGAAATAAAACTAGTCGCGATGAACACGCGTGGTTCGCTCGGCAACCGGAATGGAACTGAATGCGCGCTCTGAAACGACCACGCGGTGTTGCTATTGGCTCATTGTTTATTGGTGCGACTAACGAACAACAATTCATATTTATATAGATAATATATTATATATTTATAAATGTACATATTATTTTTCAAATTCTGGTAGTAAGTAGATAATATTTGCCAGGCCTTCAATTTTTCGAGTCAATTCGTGAGTTAATCACCGAAGTTATCTATGAAAATGATAAAGAAATTTACTACTTACAATCTGATGAAAGAATGGATTTTGTGCCATGCATGGATCAGGTGCAAAATCTCTAAAACTATAAAAATTAGTCCTTTGGAACACACAAATGCAATTTTTAGGGTCAACTCGTGAGATAATTACAAAAGTTATTTATGAGAATGATAAAGAAATTAAATGCCTACAATCTGGTGGAAAAATGGTTCTTGTGCGATGCAATAATCTGGTGCAAAATCCCTAAAACTATAAAAAATTAGTCCTTTGCAACACAAAAATGCAATTTTTTGGGTCAATTCGTGAGATAATTACAAAAGTAATCTATGAAAATTAAGAAGAAATTCAATACTTACTATCTGATGAAAGAATGGGTTTTGTGCAATGCATGAATCAGGTAAAAAATCGCTAAAATCATCAGAAATTAATCCTTTGCAACACAAAAATGCAATTTTTAAGGTCAATTCGTGAGATAATTACAAAAGTTATCTTTGAAAATGATAAAGAAATTAAATGCCTACAATCTGGTGGAAAATGGTTCTTGAACGATGCAAGGATCAGATGCAAAATCCCTAAAACTATAAAAAAAATAGTCCTTTGCAACACAAAAATGCAATTTTTAAGGTCAATTTGTGAGATAATTACAAAAGGTATTGATGAAAATGATAAAGAAATTAAATCCCTCATAACACAAAAATGCAATTTTTAGAGTCAATTCGTGAGATAATTACAAAAGTTATCTATGAGAATGATAAAGAAATTCAATACTTACAATCTGATGGAAGAATTGCTTTTGTGCCATGCATGGATCAGGTGCAAAACTTACCAGTGCACAACGAGTGCTGTATCTTAAAGTAAACATAAATTAAAACAAAAATATTTAATTCAATTGAATTATGTTATAATTAACAATCAACACAAAATCCAACAATCTGTGCTGTTTGTTAAAAAATACTCATACGAATCTGAAGGATCTTTCTTAATGATGAGAATCAACATGGGGGCGATATATATTCGAATAATTTAGTAACCGACACCAAACACAACCACGAGTGAAGAATGTTATCCAATCCACTATCACGTGCAGGCATTTCCGAACAATAAACAAATTACTATAATCGCAAAGTACAAATAAGTAGTCGATTAATCTTCGAGTATAACACAAATTTAGAATATTGAAGTCCGATTAAACGATATAAGTCCCTCAAAACATGGCTGGATTAACCAGCGACCGCCACGAAACAGGCGATAGTGCATGCCGAAACTGCGTAAACAACGACGGGACAGTATATGATAAGAAAGCAAGAGGTGCGCAAAGACGGCGCGTCGAAGGCACGCGACCTTGTGCGCGAATTTGCAATAGGCACATTACCTGTGATCTAAACTAAACTAGACTGAAGATGGCCTTTAGAAACGCACAAAATGTGTATTACTTTACGAGATACTGGCTGTTATCTGAGCCCACTTTTTGAAATGTGAAAATAATGTCGATTTGTAAGTCAATTTTAAAACACTTGTAGAAGGTTGAAAGGGTCGGTAAGATGCGCAAGTTATTAAGGAACTCTTAAGTATCATGGGCACAACATGTGGTGATTTGCTCCATTGCTACAAGATATATGGTGTGATTTCCAGGCAAAGTGATATTTCGTTCCACGATCAACTTTTACACAAAATTAACACATTG